TTCAACATTTATTTATTTTTGGGACAGAGAGAGACAGAACATGAACGGGGGAGGGGCAGAGAGAGAGGGAGACACAGAATCGGAAACAAGCTCCAGGCTCTGAGCCATCAGCCCAGAGCCCGACGCGGGGCTCGAACTCACGGACCGCGAGATCGTGACCTGGCTGAAGTCGGGCGCTTAACCGACTGCGCCACCCAGGCGCCCCTGTTGTTCCTTTTCAAGAAGGCCTCCTGAACCTTCTGTGCCCTTACACGCCTTTTGGTGTGTGGTGCTGGTCTGGTGGCTTATTTCATCCCCAACTTCTCAAAACTTGTTTTGATTCTCCCCTTTCTCTTTAAGATCTTCTGTTTGGATTCCTTCCCCACCTTTTCGACCTTGGAACCCATTGTTTCTTCTAGTAAGCTCAGGGCTATAGACGCACCCTCTTCCCCCCTCTTCTCCCGCGGTGGCACCAGCCTGCACGGACAGTTTCAGGTGGTGGCCCTCGCCGCAGGAAGGGAGACAAACACACAGAGCCTGTATGTCAGAAGGATAGATATTTACATAATTCAAAGCACATGGTTCAAAGTTCTGTGTTGCACATGAATTCATATGTATCTCCACTCTTTCAAAAAGGAACAGCAAGGGTTTTCAGTGCAGCCACAAGGAAATGCATCGCCAGATTGGAGGGCCACGAAGGTGAAATTTCAAAGGTGAGTTGCATTCTCACCTGGAGCAGTTTCTTTAGTTAAAAAGAACCGAATGCATAGTGGTCTGTTGGCACTAGGGTTTGCCCAATTATCCTACTCTTTCTAGAAATCACAAAAACGATATTTTTAAGTGTGACCTCAAACTCAGCGTAATAAATGATCCCTAAAATCTTTAAGACAGTTTAAGACAATATTTTTTTCTCAGCCATCAGCAAAAGATCGAGTTAGCGGAAGATACTTATTAAAGCCATTTAAGAAACTTGTGAAGTACTTTTCTCGGTCTTGGCTGACACACAAATGTATATTATGCAGAATAACATGCTGTTCAGCAAGTATCAAGTGTGCTGTAAATTCAATGCAATTGAGAAAGTGTGTCCGGGAAATATTTAATACTTCACAGTTTAAATTTTTTTAAATGTTTATTTATTTTTGAGCGAGAGAGACAGAGCGTGAGGTGGGGAGGGGCAGAGAGAGAGGGAGACACAGAATCCGAAGCAGGCTCCAGGCTCTGAGCTGTCAGCAGAGAGCCCGACGCAGGGCTCGAACCCATAGACTGCGAGATCATGACCTGAGCCAAAGTCAGATGCTTAACTGACTGAGCCACCCAGGTGCCCCAATACTTAGTAGAGTTTAAAATGACCTATTTTGAAACTTCAGAGCTGTAGCTTAGGATTTTGTATAAGCTTCATCCATACGTGATTCACAGAGCAGAGACTTCCAATCAGTGACCTGAAGTTTAGCCATGTCCTGTGACAATTTTGGAAAGATCTGGACATGGGGACCCTCCACTCCCACCCAGTTCAGCCCAGTTCTTTGGTCTTGTACCTGAGATCAGATTTGCTCCTTCCTTTTAAAGTATAATTTTGATGGCTTCAGGTCCTGGAAGGCTGCCCCTAGACCCTGGAACTGTCCCTGTGGTGCTCCCCACCAACCCACGCCCCCCTCCTCCCATACCTGCTGCTGGTGGCCCGGAGCTCAGGAGCTCCTGTCTTTCAGGGTTGGTCTCTAAGGCCGTGCAGAGCACATCTTCTCCATAGGCTGGGATGGGCAGGAAGGGAGAGAGGGAAGTGTGGATGTGGGAGACAGCCTGGGAAGAGAGCCCAGACTGTGTTTCTGAGTGGCTGGTCTAATAACTTGACATGCATGATGTGTCCTACTCAACAAGTGCACATGTTTTTGTGTATGTGTGAAAATGAAGAGTTCTCAAACTCTGTATTATTGCATTTTAGGCTTATATATTTTAAGAGAGAGAGAAAGAGAGCACAAATGGGGGAGGAACAGAGAGAGGGGAAGAGAGAGAGAGAGAGAGAGAGAAACCCAAGTAGGCTCCACATTGTCAGCATGTAGCCCCATGTGGGCTCAAACTTACGAACAGTGAGATCATGACCTGAACTGTAATCAAGAGTCCAATGCTTAACCAACTGAGCCACCCAGGCACCCCTCAGCAAATGCTTTTTGATAGCTTCCACTATGCTAGGCGTTGTACTGGGGACATAAGGACAAAAAAAAAAAAAAAAAAAAAAAAGCCATGGCCTTGAGCCTTTCCCTCATCAAATTTTTAGTCCTAGAGGATGTGACCCAAATCATTGTGTTATGATGATTTAGAGAGGCTTAGAAGCATGGTGCCCAAAGGAATAGTGAACTGACCATTTCCTTTGACAGCTGCTCAGATACGTTTGACAACACTTGGCACATAGGAGGCACTAAGCACAGGTTTATGCAATGTGCTTGCTTTGAGTGGCAGTGGAATGAAAGTCCCTGCCTGTAGGCACGACATTCACTCATTCTGTGGCCAGGTTGAAGGAGGATCTGTATGCTTTTGCTTACAGAAAGTTGGGTTACGGGGATGACATGGGGGGTTGGATTTGAAGGAGCCTGACTTGTGTCCTCATCCACACCAGGGCTCTCTTGGTTTGCCTGGAAAGACTTTGGAAAGAAGCTAGGTGGGGAATACTCAAATTAGAAGAGAGCTTCGGTCTTTATCCTTAGAGTTGTTGTGTGTGGTGGTGGTGGTGGTGGGGGGGGGGTGTAGCCAGTTAATTTCTTCTGTCTAGAAGAATTATTATGTATTAATAATAATCATGTATTAATCCCCGCAATATTTTTTCCCATCAGGAAGGAACTATTCTATGTAAGAATAAATGCCAGGCTAGGAAGATGACAGGTGCTTAGTAATGTCCTCTTTTTGCTGGTGAAAAATATGTCGGGAATCATATTACACAAACCTGTGATCCTTTTTCCTTTCTGTCTTGTAGATTTCTTTCAACCCCCAAGGGAATCGTCTTCTAACGGGCAGCGCTGATAAAACAGCGAGAATCTGGGATGCTCAGACTGGTCAGTGCCTCCAGGTTCTTGAGGGGCACACTGATGAGATCTTTTCATGTGCTTTCAACTATAAAGGCAACATAATCATTACAGGTACGGGAAAGAGAAACACATCTGGGTGTTCAAGTTCACTGTTTTTCCATTTGATGGCATCGTTTGAGGGGAGGGCAGAGAGGATAAGCAGAGGGGATGCCTGGGGTGGCTCCATTCTCGTCTTGGCCAATTCTGAGATGCTGTGAATTTCGCTCCTGTGAGTAGGACACAGACTTGCCCAATTTGTGACTGCCAGGAATCATTAAAAAAATTTTTTTTCGCTCCCCAAATGCCCGAGCTGCTCAAAGCCTCCACGACTGGACACATTGAGTGTATTGATGATTGTCAACGACCCGGAAGATGTTAATTTGTAAAAAGAGAGAGTTAGTGAATAAAATAAAGGAAAAATAACTTTGTGCAATTTGTTTCGTTAGGTAGCAAGGATAATACCTGTAGGATATGGCGTTGACGGAAGAGAGCCGGCTGATGAGCGGATTTGCTAGCGATGGAGGTGAAGGTAGAGCTTCACAGTTGTCAAGCAAGCTATTTTCATGTTTCACATATTCTCTTTTCCGCAAGTCAACTACATGCTGTCATTAGCTTCGCAGATATGACCGTTAAAACTAATAAACTTATATCACGTCTTCATAGTATTTGATGGAAATAATAGGAGAGACCACAATGTGTGGCCAATGTCACTGGTGATTGCATCTTTGTTTTTATTTTTAGTAGCATCATGATAGTGATAAAGGAAATCAGAGTGATTTCACAGTGTGTCTCAGATTCTCCTTTGAAAGCTCTTATAAAATCTGTTGAATAAAGGTTTTGGAAGCAGTTGTGAGTGAATTACCCATCTACATGTATGATGTATGTGTCTCTTGTGATGAGAACTTTTAAGATCTACTGTCTTAGCAACTTTTAAAAACATTTTTTAACGTTTATTTATTTTTGAGAGAGCGAGAGAGACAGAAAATGAGTGGGGGAGGGGCAGAGAGAGAGGGAGACACAGAATCCGAAGCAGGCCCCAGGCCTCGAACTCACAGACCGTGAGATCATGACCTGAGCTGAAGTCGGACGCTTAACTGACTGAGCCACCCAGGTGTCCCCGTCTTAGGAACTTTCAAATATACGATACAGTATTATTGACTGTTGTCACCATGTTGTATATTACACGTTCAGGGGTTATTTATTTTTAACTGGAAGTTTGTACCTTTTGACAGCCTTTACCAATTTTGCCCACTCCCCAACGCCCTGCATTGGTATGAAGGCATAAACCACCAATCTGTTCTCTGTGTCTATGAGCTCAGTGGTTTTTTGTTTGTTTGTTCATTTGTTTTCTGTTTTGGTTTTCTTTTAAGGTCCCACATAGAGTGAGATCATATGATATTTGTCTTGCTCTGTCTGACTTATTTCACTTAGCGAAATGCCCTCAAGGTCTGTCTATATTGTTGCAAATGACAAGACTTCCTTCTTTTCTATGGCTGAGTACTATACCATTGTATTTATAGACCACGTTTTTTAGTCTATTCATCCAGCGATGGATGCTGAGGTTGTTTCCATATCTTAGTTATTGTAAGTAATGTTGCAGGGAACATGGGGGTGCATAGATCTTTTCTAGTTAGTGTTTTCATTTGCTTCAGGAAATACCCAGAAGTGGAATCACTGAATATGGTTCTATTTTTAATTTTTTGAGGAAAGTCCATCCTGCACCGTGGCTGCACCAGTTTGCATTCCCACATTTTTAGGAGGACATGTATGTTTGCAAATTGACTGGAAGTTTTATTACTTATTTTGTGATTTCACTTTGTGCAGCTAGGAACGAGAGGCAAAATTGGAAGGGAAACTTAATCTTCCCTCATATTCAAAAGTGTATCTATGCCTCCTCCCCCCAGAAAAGAAGTTGCCAACCTACACTGATAAAATTAAGGTTGCATATAAGGAAGGCAAAATGGATATCACTTAATAGAAAATATGAATCGAGTTCATAGTGGATGTAAAATATATGGGCAGGTTTTTCTTCAAAAGAAATGTTAAACAAGATAGACATTCAGACGAATGAATTAAAAAATCTGGATGGAAAGCAACTGGGATACCAGGAAAATTCATCAAACACCAACCTGATTACTGCTGAAATACTGAAAGCTATTTTTTTTAAAAGGTTTTTCTATGTAAACGTGACTTAATGCATATTAAAAGTTACTGTTAAAAGATAAAGCACAAGTTAGAACCACTGATGCTTGAATCCGGAGCAGGAGAACACACATGAGAGTCTCATGGAGTCATTTTCTTAATAATAACAAGAGTGGTCAGTGTGGCTGAGGGTGTCGCCCGCCAGACACTGCCCACCCACCTCACACATCATCCCTGCAACCCTCCAGCCAACCGTTTCCGAGAAGGTGACGGTCCTGATCTGAAAATGAGGAAGGTGAGTCACACTCAAGTTAGATAATCTACCAAAGACATCGCGTCCATTATACTCCGTGCTTAAATGAACACTTATGGGAGAAGAGTATCAGACGTATCTGTGGGAAGGTTTGGGCTGAGAATTACCCCTCAGATCATCTATGGATGTCCAGAACCCAAGAAGAAAAATAAAACAAAAGCAGAACAATATAAACAAAAACTTCAGCTGCTGGAAGCAGGACCTTCAGAGATGGTGAAGCCAAGGAGAGCTCGGATTAGAAAAACCTGGGCCAAAACTTAGCTACTTCTTACGAACCCAGGAAGAAGAAGCTACCATTGGCTCTTCCTCTGACTCTGATGGCTTTAGGGAAAGTCGCAATACTGTTTTGTTACGTCATTCAATAGAGAGAGCCATTGTATAGTCATGGAGATCATTCTACGTCTCACTGACCTATTTAGCTGTAGGAAGCCCTTGGTCAGAAAAGGCTCCTCTAATTTTTATGTGTTGAGGCAATCTTTCTTCATAGAATATTTATTAAGGTTTCCAGTAGTATTTTTTATTATCGAAGTATAGTTGGCATACAATGTGGTGTTACTTTGAGATGAACAACATAGCGATTCCACAATTCTATACATTCCTCAGTGCTCACCTCCAGAAGTGTCGTCACTGGCTGTCACCACATGTTACTACAATCGTATTTACTATATTCCTTATGCTGTCCTTTTCATCTCTGTGACTTATTTAATAACTGGAAGTTTTACTTCTTCCAGCAGTATTTTTTTTTTTTTTTAAATTTTTTTTCAA